AATATTATCTATGCAAAGAGGTCTGCTGAAGGAAATAAAAGCTTTTAATATGTAGAGATATTAATACATAAAACCATAGGCCAAGCAAAAGATCTATTAAATTAGATAGGTCATCATGAACAGCAACTACTTTAAAAGTCAGCAGTGGATTTAAAAGGTGTTTGTCAGAGCTTTCTCCCAGAGGCAGAAGTTCTTGCCGGACTTCCAGGCGGTTGGTCTGTGACGTTGCGTCTTCCTCTGTTTAACACAAAGTCATGTGGCAATGTGTCGTGTGCTTACATAGCAGGCCAAAATAATCTCAGCCATGGGTCACTTCAGTGCACCTCTCCCATGTATCTACATACAATGCATATAAATTCACAATGCAGTTTCCAGGTGAGCTAACCTGGAAGATCTTCTTTGTATTTCAATGTGGATTTTCATAAAGAAGAGGGCTGGAGCAGTTTAAGACCAAAATATTAAATATTGCATGTTTCTGAGAAGACCTGAGAAGCTAGCTTTCATAGCAAACTGGTCTGTATAAACTAGCAATTGTAGTCTTGGTGCAGTGGCTCATGCCTATAGCCCCAGCACTTTAGGAGGCTGAAACAGTAGGATCACTGGAAGCCAGGAGTTCAAGACCAGCCTGGGCACATGGCAAGATCCCATCTCTACAAAAAATAAAAATTAAAAAAATTAAAAATAAGTAAACTAACAACTGTGATGATAAGCAGTGGTTTCATTCATTCACTCACTCATCCATCCATTCATTCATTCATTAGTTCTTTGACTCAACAATACTTTCTATGCATCTACTATAGACCACAGGCATTGTTCTTGGCTCTGGGATGCAGTGGTGAATAAAACAAAGTCCTTGCCTTCATGGAGCTGTTACTCTAATTGGGAAGACACACAGTAAAGACATAAGCCAAGAGCTATGAAGAATAAAGTCAGGTGGTAACGAGGCCATGAAGATCCATAAAGCTAGATAAAGGGATGGAGAGGGGGAGATTGGTAAGGGAAAATCTTTGAGCAGAGATGTGGATGAAGTTGAGAAAGTGAACCAAATTGTACCAACCTTAGCTCACTTTGCTTTTTTATATGTGTTGAAATATACCGAAAATTGAGGCTCACTATGTTTTTAACATTGCTTAGAAAATACAGAGCCAGGCGCAGTGACTCACGCCTGTAATCTCAGCACTTTGGGAGGCCGAGGCAGGTGGATCACGAGGTCAGAAATTTGAGACCAGCCTGACCATCATGGTGAAATCCCATCTCTACTAAAAATATAAAAATTAGCCAGGTGTGGTGGTGCGCACCTGTAATCCCAACTACTCGGGAGGCTGAGGCAGCAGAATCACTTGAACCTGGGAGGTGGAGGTTGCAGTGAACTGAGATTGAAGCATTGCACTCCAGCCTGAGTGACAGAGACTCCGTCTCAAAAAAAAAAAAAAAAAAAAAAACAGAAAGAAAGAAAAGAAAACAAAAGAAAAAGAAAAAGAAAGAAAAGGAAACACAGAAAAGGAACTTTGTTTCCTGATCAATCAGAAACTGGTTCACAGAGATATCCTCTACCTAGTGTTGACCAGTAGATGGGGATTTGCCTTTGAGCTCTCTGCCACACTGGATCCTTGTTGAATTCTCATTTCTCCATTCCATGTGCACCATAAATTCCATGCCTACAAATGTTACCAGTTTTCTCCCCAGCTTTTCATCCCTTTCCAAGAAGATGGGAAACAAGAGTGATATGACTTTATGTTCCATTGTTCCTTGGCCGTCTTGGAATCTGCTGTGTTTTTTGGCCAGTTTGAATTGTTTTATGACACAGACAACAGGAGTTGGACTGAGGTCACCAATTTGTTACTCACAACCTGCTAATTACTTAGCTGGTAGATGCTGGCTCCCACTTATTGCCTTTTTGTGTTCTGCTGGGGCCAAAGTGAGGCCTCTTTAGAGGAATGCTGGGTGAAATCTCTCGAGCAAGAATTCAGCTGGCCAAACCACAGTGTGTGCAGTGCTTATTATGTGCCCACGGCTTGTACCAGATAGAGGGGAACACAAGTTGGCATGTCTGCTCTAACAGATAAAGCCTTCTTTGGGACAAGCAATCTGGTCACATAGGTATTTTTGCTCCTTTGGGATTTATTTTCAGTCATTGAATCGTAGAGACAGAAGGAGTCTTGGAAATTATCCAGTCCAACCTTCACATTTTGCTGAGAAGGACCGAGATTACGGGAGGCTTAAATTTACTCCAGGTCATACAGCCCTAGTTTCTTTCTATTGCAGCAGGCTGTTCCTTGTCCTACTCAGGAACCTTGCATATGACAACCATTCCAGTCCATCACCACATCAAGGGCAACAGCCCACTCATACAGCACTGGAAAACCGAAAACTATGCACAGCAATACTCTAGATAGATATTCTGGGACTTTTATATCAATGCACAGAAAAAAACCTTTGCCTTTGCTTTCAGTTCTCTCCTTTGGTCTAATTTTTTTTTTTTTTTTTTTTTTTTTTTTGGCGGGGTTTTTCTTTTTCTCCCCGGCTGGGGGGCAGTGGCCGGATCTCAGCTCACTGCAAGCTTCGCTTCCCGGGTTTACGCCATTCTCCTGCCTCAGCCTCCTGAGTAGCTGGGACTACAGGCGCCCGCCACCTCGCCCGGCTAGTTTTTGTATTTTTTAGTAGAGACGGGGTTTCACCATGTTAGCCAGGATGGTCTCAATCTCGGGATCCGCCTGTCTCGGCCTCCCAAAGTGCTGGGATTACAGGCTTGAGCCACCGCGCCCAGCCGGTCTAATTTTTTTTTAAGAGAAAGTAAAGAATCTCTTTATTCCATTCTTTTTTTGTGTATAACTAGAAGCAGAATCAGCAGTTCTGATCAAGCCTCCTTGGTATAAGTAAACACAGCATCATCCCATTCCTCTTATGTCCTCGGTTTGAGTACAGCCTTATAGGTTTTTGTATGCTTCGTGGTTAATTTCTCAGATGTATGTATATTTTTTAAAAAGACGTAGTACACCAAATACTGATCTAGTGGAAAAAAGCAAAAATTACAAAATTTAGAATCAAGCATTTATAGGTTCAAAACCAGGATTCGACACTTAATAATTGTGTCACCTTCATTTAGCATTTCAGAACCTCAGTTTCACCATCTCCACAATGGGACTAATAATAGTAACTGTAGAGGGCTTTAGCAATGCACCTTCATCATTCCTCTTCCCCTTTTGCCTCTTACATGCGTATAACTGGGTCAAAAACTGTGTTTAGTTTCTCATGGATCAATCTGGTTCTTTTCTTTTTCAAAAATGTCAAGAGAAGAAACTAAATGAATATACATTCCTTGTTTAAGAAGACTTAAAAGTTCATCCCTAAAGCTTGTTTTTAAAACAAGCATCATCTAAGAATGTTTTAGAATACTCAGAGTTTCTCTTTTCTCATTCTACTTTTTTGTCTTTTTCCTCTATTTATTTCCCTGTTGTCCTCCCTACAAACAGCTTTTGTAAAATGTACATGAACGGCCCAAGGCTTCCATCGTTCCTCTGTCCCTGAATCAACTCTGTTCAGACCCGAGCTTTGAATCTGTGAGTGACGCAAGAAGCTGTTTTTGGCTTCAGGAATGTTTTCCTCTACATTCTGACTCCTCTCTTGTTGTTCTTCTTTCCTCTCCATCTTTTCTCCACCTCTCTTCCCCAGACACCCCCACTGTTTCTCTCTTCCTGTTTTCTTAGTTTCTTTTCCTCTCCTTGGTGGCCAAAGCACCAATCAATCACAGCTGTGGTCACAATTACAGTTCTATCTGTGACTCCTCTATCTCCGTGATAAAACAAGATAGGAGTAGCCTCTCCAAAAGGCAGACAATATCCACAGTAGCCTGTGGGAGGCCGCCTGGCGTGGACAAGTCAGCCAATAAGAGGTTTTCCTTGCAGCTGCAAGGCTTGGGAGAGGGAAACAGCAGCTAGCTGGGCAAGTTTGCCGGTGACACAATTAAGTGCTTCGCTTCAAAAACCATGGGAAAATTCTGATACATTCCAGATCATTTCAAAAACATATTTGCAGGTCAGATATACCAAAGGCAAGTACAAATCTGAGTTAGGTAAGTACAAGCTGATGTACAAATCTCTATTTAGATCCAAACATTTTGCAGATTGGATGTCATTAAATTTGACAATTCCCATTTAGGGATGATAAAAATTGAACTTTGTTCTCTTTAAACCCCAAGCCATTACAAGAAGAGCGGGTTCACTCAAAGTTGAAGTTGAATAGCTAGTAAAAAGCAAAGGGAAATGTGCATTATGGATGAACATTGGAAAGATTTTAAATCCAGTTAAGAAACTGGACTATTTGGAAAGACACAAAAGTAAATTTAAAAATACCTATATTGTGTCTGCATGGGTGGAGCACCTTCACAGTCTAACCTAACACATCTGTCCCATCTTTCTGATTCTAGGAAGACAGGTTCTGTTTGGTGCTGCACAGGGGCAAAGCGGCTTTTGCCTTGCATTTCCTGCACATTCCAGATTCATCAATATCATCAGGGGTATTGAGCCAGCATGGCCATATGCCTGAGCAAAACTCAGGCCTTTTATTTCATGCAGTTAATACAACTAAATCTTGTTTTTTCTTGTCTCAACTTTTATCTTGACCTTTCCAACCCTACAGAAAATGGCTAACACCTGTAAGCCCAGCACTTTGGGGGCCTGAGGCTGGAGGATCACTTGAGGCCACGAGTTCAAGGCTAGCCTAAGCAACATAGCAAGATCCTATCTCTACGTTAAAAAAAAAAAAAAAATTTAAAAACATTAACCAGTTGTGGCATGGCCCTAATGTCCCAGCTATTCAGAAGGATGAGGCAGGAGGATTGCTTGAGCCCAGGAGTTCAAGGTTATAGTGAGCTATGATTGTACCACCGCACTCCAGCTTGAGTGACAGAGCAAGGCACTGTGTCTAAAAAATTTAAATTACAAATTAAAAAATAAATTAAACCTACAAAAATCCTGAGAAAACTGTAAAGAGCACTGACACCCAGTTTCACCAATGAGACATTCTCTTATATAAATACAATGCTAATCATCCTCCCAAGGTACTTAACATTAATACACTAGTATTATCTAAAATAAACTCCGTACTTAAACTTCCTCAGTTGTCCCTGTAGCTTTTTAAATGTCTTTTACGACTTGAATAATTTTGAAGAGTCCAAGCCAGTGTTTTGCAAAATGTCCCTATAATCTGGATTTATCTAATTATTCTTTATAATTAGATTCAGGTTAAAATATTTTTGCCAAAAATACTACACAGATGATGGCGTGTGCTTGCATTGTGTTGTATCAGGAGGCAATGATGTCTGCTTGTCTTGTTTTGGGTGATGTAAAGTTTGATCACTTGGTTAAGGTGGCTACCATATTTCTACTTTGTAGAGATATCCTTTTGCACTATAATTTTTTTCTCCATTTATCCAAAGGTTTTTAACATCTGTTGATGATCTTTGTTTTGTTACACTGGTATTAGCAGAGTGTTAATTTTTCTAATTTTTTCATTCCTTTTGTATGCATCAGATAGAATATTGAATATCTGGGTCTTTCTGACACCTAAGCTCATACTCTTTCTAGTACACAAGCTATGTTTCTAATATATAAACAAATTAAGCTAGTCATCTGAAGCTGCTAGGAAAAGAAAACATTTCAATTTCATCTCTCTTTTGGAGCTCCATTGTCTTTTATCTTGGCAAAAATGAACTCCTTCCATAGCTTTGAAACCTACTTTAAAAATCCCAAGACTACAGCACCCACAGAGCTGTTATTTTTAGGGCTCGCATGTGAAGGAATGCATTTTAAAGAGGTAGAGAATGTTCATATCAAGTTCCCTCTCTCCATGTCACTGACATTCTTCCACTTCTTTGGGGGCCCAATTTTGCTTGACTGATTTATTGATTGATGATTTCTTGTGTTTGGTGTGGAGGGGGGAGCATTAGGATAAAAATGTCCATTTGGGCTTTCTGTTTGTTTTCAGTGGCAAAACTGGCTTGAAGAGTTTAGTGAAGCTACCGCATTTTTCCCTGAGCCAAGATCCTGGGATCCCCTGGGTTGAGGAGAAGGTGGGGACTGCAAAGCAGCCTACAGAGACGTTGATGCCACCACCTCCAAGGAGAACTTGCAGGCCCAGCTTGTAGTCATCCCACATGGGATGACTAGAGGGAGCAGGGACCCTATAAGCCTTGCTGGCTGCGAGGACATGGGAACACAGACATGGCTGATCAGAGAGGACACCCAAGACAGAAGCAGTGATTTTTTCTTTTCTTTCCTAGTAGCTGCTCTCCCTGAAAATGTCCTTGTTTTAATGAAATTAGTGTGACTAGATTCCTGCGGGAAAACACACAGAGAGAAACCCTATTCTACCTCTCTTCTTTCTCTTTGTTATATTAAGTGGCAACAACTCCTCTAATCGCTAATAAATTCAGGTTTATAAGTCACAATAGCAGTGTCAGGGTTAGGCTGTGAGTGTTACAAGCACTTAAAAGGCCCTTCAAACTGAAACAAAAATATTCTCTTTGTTTGCCATCTTTGTACTGTTTAACATGAGTATTTCAACAGTCTTTGTTTTCCAAACATGCAAACAGGAGAGAGTGATCTGACCCGCAGCATATTGACATGCCATCTATCTATAACCTTGAGATAAAAAGTAAAGGAAAAAGTCAAAACAGCTCAAACCAAATACTAATACAAACAAGTCTTTCTTCACTCTCGACCCCTTCCCCCCATATCAATGGAACAAACTAGCATCAACACTCATTGATGGTGGTGGATTCACATGGATCTATACTTGTGCAGCTTTAGGGGGACGGGGGAGCCCAAACACAAAGGGGAAAGTTTAATGTATTAATCAACTAATTCAACGAATACTTATTACCGTATGTATCTGCTGTGTTGCAGACAGGGTTGTAGATGTTGCAGATATCTCACATATTTAAAGGATGTAGAAGACTTGCAAGGTCTCTGCCCTTGTGAAATTTATCTAGTGGTGTTAGAAAAAAAAATCAGAGAATATAACCGACAGTGTTCAGAGGAGATAGGAAATAGCAGCTGTACCAGAAAGCATGAGCTGGTTTCCTGGATTCTGTATATCCAGGAATGCAACTGCTTCAAAATCTGGGTCAAACTGTGGAATGGCTATTAAAGATAGAAAGGCAGAAAGAAAAAAAGCAGAGAATCAGAGAGAAGCTTCTCTTTCCACCACACATGGGACGGTCCTTTGGGAGTTTTTACCAAATTGTTCAGAAAGAGTTCAACATAATGCTTATAGGATGATGAATTTTAAAAGAACCAACAGTGACTGCACCTTTGTCCCCTGATTCAAGGACCCCAAAGGTGGAATATCCCAATGTAACAAGAGTAACTTTCTGAACACCTTTGTTATGCTAAACTCCGGGCTAGGCATTTCTGATTTTGGCTCATTTAATCCTCTCAACCAAATCCCTGGTGAGATAAACGCTAATTTTTATTCCCATTTCACACATGAAGAGACAGACCTAGAAAAGTTAAGTAACTTGCCCTTGCTCAAGGACACAAACCTGGTAGAGAGTGGAACCAGAATCAGGTCATGGCTCCATCTGACTCAAAATTGATGTCCTAAACCACCATATTTACATTCATAAAATTATCTTGCATCATTTTATTACAGTAAAAAGAAAAAATGCATTAATGTTAAATAGGAAAATTATTCAGATAGCTTCAGAAACTGACCTGTGTTTTTAAGATATTGTCTTGAAACAGACATCTACATATATCCAATCAGTCAAAATTAAATAACACCATTTTCTCAAATGCATGAAAAAGTAAGAGATGACTTGTAACTGCCTAAATATACCTAAGTTCAATATCTCAAATCAGAATTATGATTCAAGAAAGAATGGGGATCAGCATTTTATTCAACTGATAAATTACTCCTCAAAGTTTATTTTATTTTATAAATGCATACGTTTCCATCAGCATACTTTATTTGAAAATTAGATTAATAATAAAATAAAGTGCAACTGGTTTAGTGAAAACAATGCAAAGCTCCATAATAAAGTTCATGCCCATTTGGGAATGAATCCATATCAAAAATCTTTATCAAAAAGAATTGTAGTGGAATTAAACTTTGAAAGGAGGTGAAGGTCTTGCTTTTGCTTGAAATCATTTAAATTAAATATGATGAAAAGTGATCAGGGTGCTTATTTTTACTTTGTTTTGTGGGAAATTGTGCTGGGAATGTGGATCTATTGTACACAAAGGATGTTGGCTTTATGCTGGAACCACTAGGCAGGTTGAGATGAGAAACAATTAGCTCAGTCAGCAAGCCTTTGAATCTGATTAAGCCAGGAAGTGGTCACTCCCCAGGACAGGGCAGAATGAAGGGAATCAAGGCAGCAATCCAAAGCAAGGAATAATTTTTTTTTCTCTCTTTCTCTTAAATAAATTGTTATTAGAATTTATTGTGTCAAATTTATGCCAAGGATTATTTGAGTACATTTCATCTTTGGTAAAACAAATAGAATCTTGTTTCCAAGTAGATCAACAGTTCATATGTGTCGTGGCTACTGTCTCTAAGAAACTTCTATTTACTGAGGCCTGTCATACTCCATGTTTTGGTAACAAAACATCTTTGAGACCAAGGCCCCCAGCCACCGAGGAAAATGAAGGGCTTCTATCAGGCTGCTGGCCGGATTCTCGTCACTCTGGGGAGCCTCAGCGTCTGCTCTGGAGTTATTGCTTTCTTCCCTGTCTTTTCTTACAAGCCTTGGTTCACGGGATGGAGTGTTCGGATTGCTTGTCCCATCTGGAATGGAGCTTTGGTATGAAAATAGTTTATGAAATGTAATGAGAAAATAAAGGAAGGTGGGAGGGAAAGGGGAAACAGAAGAACATGTCCTTTTAAATTGTTCTAACAATACAAAGAAGTCAAAATTCCACAAAAAATCAGAATCCGCCTTGGAACATTGATTTCTATTAATTGCATTTTTTAAGTATAAAAATTGTCGTAATATTATTTTATCATGTATACATGTATATTATGTATCTTTAAGGACATGCTGCTCAAGAAATTCTTAAAAAGTTATTTTATTTTAATCCTGTAATCTTGATATGCTAAATTAGAATCTTTTGAAATTTGAATTTTGAATTTAGAAAAAAACACAAACTTTGAAACGTAATTTTAAAATAGAGAACAAAGTAAAATAACTTTCAAACTAATGCTTTCATTGCAAACAGTAAGATGTACCTGGCCCCAAAATTTACAAACCCCAAATATTTGTTTTTCCACCTTTCTCTTGCATGCAACTGTTTGAACTGAAAATAGCTCAATAATTTTCAATTATTTTAAAATAACTCAAATAATTCAATAATTCAAGATGGACTTAACAATTCACTAGGAAAGTACATGTGCCAAGTACAGTGTCTGACACTAAGTAGTAGTACTCCGTGTATGCTCATTGAATCGTTGCACACATAAAAGATTGGCCTGGTTCCTTAGCTCTCCAACCGAAAAAAAAAAAAAAAAATGAGCACATCTAGTCTTAGGAGTAACTGGCTTCCATGCTGGTATGATTTAAGACAAGTTACAGAGACGCACCTGTCCAACAAATCCTTCTCTCATTGATTCCTGTGATGCCTGACACCACTGGAGACTGGAGAATGCAATTTTGAAGTTTTTTGATCTTAAGGAGTCTTCTATTAAAATGTCGCAACTTGGCCGGGCATGGTGGCTCATGCCTGTAATCCCAGTACTTTAGGAAGCTGAGGGGGACGGATCACGAGGTCAGGAGTTCGAGACCAGCCTGACCAACATGGTGAAACCCCCTCTCTACTAAAAAATACAAAAATTAGCTGGGTGTGGTGGCACGCACCTGTAATCCCAGCTACTCAGGAGACTGAGGCAGGAGAATCACATGAACCTAGGAGGCAGAGGTTGCAGTGAGCCGAGATCATACCACTGCACTCTAGCCTGGGCAACAGAGCAAGACTCCGTCTCAAAACAAACAAACAAACAAAATGTAGCCACTCTTGTGTGAGATAGTACCTTAAATCTTTAAAAAGTTAAAACTTTAACTGGGATACCACCTAAAAACTAGTCCTCAGGAAATATAAGTTTTAATCTACTTATTAGATAAATATTTATGAATAGCCCACTATGTCCTTGAGTTACAATGAAGGATCCAACAAGGTCTTCATCTTAAAGGAACTTAGCCTAGTGGGGTTTGATGAATGTGTGCAGATAGATGGAGGCCAGTGGGATGATGGGAGAGTGGATGGAATGAGGAAAGCATAGGGTTATGTTTCTCTTTCTCTGTTTTTTTTTCTTTTTCAATACATTCTTTTGTATCTATCACCCCAATCGTGATCTTCCCTTCTTTTCTTCAACACCTGCCTGAAACCATAATTCATTCAAAGAAATATTTGTTAAAGTTCTACAGGAATGCAGAGATGGCAGTTACATTTATTGAAGCAGCTTCCAAAATGTTTTTTGGTGACTCAGAGTCAGAAAAATATTGTAGGTGAGGACCCAGAATGTACATAAATACATCTACATTCTTCTCTCTAGATAAATAGATATGTATAGTAGATGTTTATAATAGACATCTATTATGCATGTATATGTATAGTAGATGTTTATATATCTGTAAAACAAAAGTTTCTCAAAATAGTACTTACCCTCTATGTGAAACATATTCTGATATTTTCTATTCCAAAGTCTAATTTCACAAAGTTTAACAATATCATGATTAGAGTTCAACCCTACATTCTTTTGTTACAGCTCTTTGCCTATCCTTGCAGACTCTAACATAATACATTCAACAAATATTGGTGATTTTGATTAAGATTACAGATGATTGAATGTAATCATGTTCTAGGTCAAACATCTATTTTTACCAGTTAGGCCCAGAGAAATGATATGATATGTCTCCAGCACATAGTTAATTGGTGACTGACTATTTGACTTCAGAGGTGGCAGCATCAGGAAATGGAGTCAGAGATAAAGGATTTAGAGAAGCAGACCTGTTTTCAAGTCCTGACTTTGATGTTCTTGGTAGGAGGTCAAAAGCAGGACCCTCTGCCAGCCAGTTCCTCATTCCCTTTATCTGTAAAATGGGGAATTTTACAGATAAAAAGAGCCCACATGTAAAACTGTCTAACCCTAAGATGCACAATGAGAATGAACACAATTTAAACAAACATTGTGTAATAAAGAGCTTTGCAATTTTAAAGCCCTCCTCAAATGCTAGTTAATACCATGCCTTTCATTTGTGCCTTCTCTGTGTTCAAGCCCTTTGTTCTTAATCCTGTGTCACCCGCCTCACTTTCCTATCCTATTCCCTCGTAACCTGCTGAGTTCTCCATCCTGTTAACTTCCTGGACTTCATCTCCTACCAGTCTTCCCTTAGCTCACTTCTCTCCCACCACACTGGCTCCTTGCAGTTTTCAAACACGCCATGATGTGTTTCTGCCTCAGGACCTCTGCCTAAAGCCTCTTCCTGAACTTGGCTCACTCTTTAGCCTCCTTCAATTCTTGATTAATTCTTTATCAAACATCACTTTTTTTTACAACGGTTTGCTCCCGTTACACTGTTTGCAATTGTAATTCCCTGACCCCAACGGGTGTTCCCAATCTCTGATACCCTGTTCTATTTTTTTCCCATAACACTTATTAGCATATAAGATACTATATAATTTTTTAAATTTATTGTTTGTGCATTCCCCTCTCCTCTAACAAATGTATATTGTAGAAGGGCAGGGATTGTTTTTTCTATAATGTTTACTGCCGTATGTGAAGAACTTGGAACAAAGGGAATTACATACTATGTGTTCAATAAATATTGTTCAATAAATATTGTTGAATGAGTGAATGAATCTCATGCCCTCCATTCCGTTGGTACAGAATTTCTTATACAGTTGCATACCAATTAGGTTGCAAGGACTAAAGGTCAGGGTGGTGTTTATATTATACAAGGGCAGGAAAAAATCCTCATGCGAAGGAAAGTAATACAAATGCTCAGTATTTCTATAATGTCTAAATTTGGACCAACGTTATTTTTTTTTCCTAGTGAGTTTCCTACTGAACCATGGTTCTGTCTGATCAGGGTGAACTTCAAATGGTCTCTGACTCATTCCACAACCTTCCTTACCAATCACTTCTTAACTTGCCTCCAAAGTATATCTTCCTCCAGTGACAAGATTTGTACATTTCAACCATATCGACATTTCCTTTTGCAGATGACTCCATATTTCCTTGGAGACTTGTAAGAGAGAGATTTTTGCATATGATACAGTACTTTGATTTTTTTCAAAGCCTTTCATTCAAGACTCTCTAAGTACTTCATATAGATTGGTCCTCAGATTCCCTAGTTCCATTTTGACATTTATATGACAAGCAATTTTCCTAGAATTTTGGAGGTAGGTTATTTAAAAGCATCAGCTGCTAGAAAGTATTCAGCGAGGAGATCATAGTACCTTAAGGAATGAGCTCTATTAATTCTAGAAAACATGGCTTGTAGAACAAGTTCTGATGAAAAGACTGGAGTACAATAAGTTTAAACAGAGGCCCTGAGGACTGGAGAGCCCAGTGACTTGGCCAATGGCAAGCGCAGCACTGCACCCAGAGCCCTGCTTAGAGAAGGGAATTTGGGAGAAAGGTCACGCTAGACTTAGTTTTGCAGTCTTCCTCAACGGAAGTTCTGCCCCTTCCTCGACGGTTAGAGAAGGGGCTTGATTACATGACCATGCACGTCTGTTACAGCTTCCACAGTTGCATGACTTCCAACTGCCTGATGGTGTCAAAGAAAAACCAGAGCTGGACAGTTAGTTAAAGCAATAAAAGCAAATTTTATTCAGGATTATTGCAATAGGGAAAAAGAGACATCAATATAGAACAAAGTTCAAGTCCAAATACAGCATGAGCAAATGGGAATTTATAGTTGAGAAGCAGGGTGAAAGTCAGTGGATGGAAAATTATTAACAGGAAGTATCAGGGACAAGGGGGATTGTGGCTATACCGACCTAACAGTTTTCTTGCTGAAGACAGGCCAGGGTGATCAGACATCACCTTTGGGGATCGGGAAGGAGGAGAAATCTAACTAGTTATAGAGGGTGATCAGTTATCAAGGCTAGGGGGGCTTCTTGCTAAACTGACTCAGCAGGATTCTTGTGCTCAAACTGGATTTTACAAGGAAGTACACAGATGGGCCTAGGAGAAGGTTCAGGAACCTGATTACAGTTTGATCAAGCAAAGAATCTATGTCAATGGTCCATTTTTCCACTTAGATATCCAAAGCTGCTTTAAGGCCAGTTTGTCTAAAACCAAATTAATCATCTTGTCACCAAAACCGTTTTTTTTCTTCTCCAACTTCCCTGTCATTGTCTTGGTAACTCAATTTCAAACACTGGAGTGATTTTGACTCAACCTGTTCCTCTAAACTAGCCCTTTTCAAACTGTAAGGTGCATACAAATCATTAGGAGATCTTGATGAAATGCAGGTTCTAATTCAGCAGGTCTGGGGTGGGGCCCGAGAGTCTGCATGTCTAACAAGTTACTAGAGGATGCCCATGCTGCTGGTCCTAGGACCACACTGCAGGCAGCAATGCCCTAAAGCAGCCCAACATCAGCCCCACTCCAATCAGTTGCCATGTAACTTTAATTTTTCCTACAAGGTGTATCCTTACGCATTCCTTCTTTTTCCTTCTCACTGTATACCACCCTCCCCTCACCACTTCTCATCACTACTCAGATTTTATGCCTAGGTAACTTTGATAGTCAAACTGTGAGAATCTATCCATTAATGAATTATAAAATAAATCTATTGAGTAGCTAGCAGCATTTACAATAAATGCATAGAATAGAATAGAATAGAATAGAATAGAATAGAATAGAATAGAATAGAATGGAATGGAATGGAATGGAATGGAGTGGAGTGGAATGGAGTGGAGTGGAGTGGAGTGGAGTGGAGTGGAGTGGCATGGCGTGGCATGGAGTGTAGTGGAATGGAATGGAATGGAATGGAATAGATAGTATTGGAATGCATCACATTTTTTATATCTGACCAAAATAATATGTAACCTTCATTATGCATCATAAAAATATTTATAACTATGACGTGAAATGTATTAGTTATTGTGGCTAAAGCTAAAAAAAAAAATCTGAAGACCAGGGTTCTACAGAGACTTCTAGGCCTCCCTTTGTTCCAATCTCGCGTGCACACAACTGGCTCATCTTTCTAAACTCCTTCAGTAGTCAGGCTACAGCTCCTTCAAAAAGCTTTCATGTTGCTTCATTGTCCCTAAACAAAGTTCAGATGGGCTAGCCTGCATTGTGAGGTCCTCCTAACTCTGGTATTACCTGGCTTTCAATCCTCGTTTTCTACTCGTCTCTGCCAAGAACTGACCCTCCTTTCAGTGTGGACTCCTCACTCACTGCTCCCTAAGCATGACGGCCACTTCCCCACCTTTGCACACGCTGCTCCCACAGCCTAAGCTGCCCTCCCTCTGTCACCTCCCATTGAAATCACATCCATCCTTAAACCGACTTCAGATCCTATTTTTCCATGGTGCCTTCATCATCGACATTTCCCTTGTAAGTGATACCTTATCCCTGAGCTCTTCTCATGTAGAAAACATTCATCCTTCTTGCCTAGTGTTGTAGCCATTCTCTTATGTGCACTATTTTTATACCCAAACTGTAAATTCCAGTGACAGTCAAAACTACTATTTGTACAATTACTATTTCGGGATCTTGCTCATCTTATTTAGCCTTTCTGTGCCTCATTTTAAAAGTGGGAGGATATCTACATGATAAGGTCATTGTGAGGATTAAATGAGTTAGCATGTGTGACGTGTTCAATATATTAAACACTCACTCAATACATGTAAACATTTATTATTACTTTATCAGCATAGTACCTAGCAAATTGCTTGTTTGCAGTAGACTCGTAACAGATGCTTGTAAGTGAATAAATTATCCCATATTAATATGATACCTCTAAAAGTTTCTATTTCTATTGTGAGGGCTCCCTGATTCCTTCAATTCATCTACCTCTGGGAACTTAGGCAATTGCCTCTACTTAGTCAATTTAAAGATTTAGTGGGAGAGTTCATAATTATCATGCAATCAAAGTGTTAGCAGCAATTGTTGCAAAACCCAACTGATATCCCTGGATGTGCCCAGAAAGCAAGGCAGCAGCATGTCAAGGAGAGCTGAGGGAGGCGAGTGCAGGATGGAGGCCCTCTCTTCTTTCCCCACTCACTGCTGGGCACAGCTTCCACTCTCCCCTTCCTCACAACCTGGCCTCCTCTTCAGCCAACTATTCCCCTTCAGACTCTCCCTCTCTCACATTTTCTCTTCCCCTTGACTTGTCCTGCCTACCCTCAAATCTCTTCCTTTTTCATTCTTTTCTCCTCTGTATCTAAAAATGTAATTTTCAAAAAGAAATGGAAGAAAGAAAAGGGGAAATCTGTGCATCTTGGGGAAAATAGCTCTATTCTATCTCCCATGTCTGGCGGGGAGCACCAATAAAGATGGGTGCGCTAACCTCTTGAGCCACCTTTCCATTTGCAGGGTAGATTTAACAAGTTACTGAAGGCATTCATACTCAGCCTACTCCATGAAAGATCTTTTTCAAAGTTTTATGTAAACAAAGCAAAATTCAAGCTGGCAGCTACAAAAATAACAGGCAACTGAAATTCTGCAGTATTTTTCAACGTTTTGAAAGGAAAGAAACAGCTCATGCCAAAGTAGTTAAGGCAACCTGGAATCTCAGCATCTGATAATGTCAGCTATCTACTCAGAGTGAAACCAGCAGAGGGGCATGAGCCTGTCTCCCTTGCTTATCTGGCTTCAGTGTTTCTCTGTCTTACAGAGCACTGATGTGTCAATTGAGGGCCATGCTTCCCAAAGCAGAGAAATCCCCAGGCTTACCCCACAGCACCGGTGTTACAGTTGCTCTTAATAATTCTTTTGTTTTCTTGTACTATTTATGCTGGCTCACCCTCCATAGGGTCCCTTGAAAACTTTCCTCTTGCAGAATCAAGCCAGGAACCTCTTTTGACTACAGATGGTTCTGTTTTTATCCCTGGGAATTTTATGGTATGGCGATGCCAAGTCTGGAATTGTAGGCTCAGCTACATGAGAAGTGTGTGTGTGTGTGTGTGTGTGTGTGTGTGTGTGTGTGTGTTTCTCTGTCTCTCAAATTCTCTAAATCCAACATTCAAAATAAAATATGCCAGGAAAATGAAAAAGCTAAGTCTCAAAACAGTAAATATGCCAGATCCAGCTGCTACAAAAGCAGCATACCACAAAACCATGTTGGTAAAAATGCTGATTTTTTTTCCTCCTTAACTTTGTAGATTGTGTACATATAGTCATGCTTATTTCTCTGTCAAAAGCTAACTTGTACTATATTTGGAGCTGTCCATATTCTATATCTTATTTTAGGCACATCTCTTCCTCTTTCTCTCTCAACCTCAAAAGAGTCATTAACCAAGAACAAATGATACACGGGATTAAGAATAAGTTATTTCCAGTCTCAGTGACCACAAAGGTCTCCTCCATGAGACCTGTTGCTGAATCAAAGAGCCCAGGAATATTTTTTTTCCATTATCTACTGCTAAATTCTGGTGACACTATTCCCTCTTTTGTTTAACTATTTTCATTCCACACTTTGGGCCTTTTTCCTTCAACAGAGACTATAAAGAAAAACTCTCTTTTGAAAGGCTGGACACCACTGTACCCAGAACAATAAATGCCACATCATGCATTCATTCTAATGATAATCTTTGTTATTTGAGAAAAGGGGATCGTATATTTGGATCCTACCAGCAGGCTGAGGCTGTGGAATCTCAAAAGAAAGCAAACAGCAAAAGAGCAAGTCGCTTCAGGGTTTTGTGACAAGTTTCCATTCTGGTTCCTTCCATTTACAGTTTCATCAGTTTGTGTGAAAGGTGAACAAAAGACAATTAATCAAATAAAACATATGGCAAGGGTTATAAAACCAAGCCATTATCGTGGTGACACCTTACAGTAGTGGAGGGGGTGATTCTGATGGCAAAGGCAACATAGAGAATCAAAAAATGAGCTTGTGTGAATCATGTCTTCATGACACTAAAGGCTTACTTTCCTCATCATCACCGTTTTTTTCCATGGATGAGGAGGAAATCAGAGCCATCAATCCACTGAGTCGTTTGCTGTTCCTTCAAGTTCGTGATGAAGTTGTCAAACTGTGAGACAGATTGAACTCTTTCCAGAGGCACCTTCTGTGGTGGATGTTTATTTTTGCATTTTCTTGTCACAGGCCATCACAACTGGTGTGCTTCTACTGTTGGCTTACAGAGAGTGGACCCAGAGGTACCTGGTAAATATACAGATGCCAAGTAGGATGGTAAAGTGGCTTTGAAAGTTAAATCACTATTAAGTTCAGGATGGAACATAAAAAAATATGACATCCAATTAGAATTGAATTTGGTCTAATTGATGCCATGCTACAATGGATTTCAGTAATAAACTCTGTTTTAAATGAATTTTTTTGTTTTTGGAGACGGAGTTTTACTCTGTCACCCAGCCTGGAGTGCAGTAGCATGATCTCAGCTCACTACAACCTCCGCCTCCCAGGTTCAAGTGATTCTCCTGCCTCAGCCTCCCAAGTAGCTGGGACTACAGGTGCCCACCACCACCATGCCCAGCTAATTTTTATATTTCTAGTACAGACAGGCTTTCGCCATGTTGGCCAGGCTGGTGTTGAACTGCTGACCTCAGATGATCCACCCACCTCAGTCTCCCAAAGTGCTGGGATTACAGGCATTAGCCACTGCGCCCAGCCCTGAATAATTTTTATCTGATCTCTGCTCCAAATATTTTCTACAAGTTCCTGTGATGATTATTGTATTTGGGGAGGACGGAGCCAGTGCTAGTGCTCCTAAATTTCATTTTGAAGAAATGGATCTATAGGTTTCTCTGCTTTTAGCAATATATTTTTAATTCTCAACTCCTTAATCTGAGATCTCTTTCCAATCTTCTTGGTACCTCTCCTTCTAAAAAAGGATGAAAAGTCTATGCTATCTTGCATTTCAACTGCATAAAACCAGATAATCCCATGATACAGAAAGACTACATTATCTGATTATAGATTTTATTGCCATGGCTAACGCAGGGCTTCTCAAACTTAAATGTATATGTAAATCAACTAGAGATCTGGTTAAAATGCAGATTCTGATTCAGTAGATCTGGGTGAGGCCTGAGATTCTGCATGTCTGCCAGGCTCCCAGGGGATGTCAGTGCTACTGGATGATGGACCACATCCTGAGTAGCTGAATAGCAAGAACCTTGAGCAGGGATTTTGTTCACTCATCATTGTTTTTCCCAACCCAGACTAGTTGCCTCCATGTGATGGGAAATACATAAATAAATGTTTGTTGAATTGAACTAATTTAAATTTTGCCCCAGTTGGCTGATATATTATTCTCCTGTGGTGTAGATTGAAAATGAAGGACTGCAGGAGGGAGAGCATCAGGAAGAATAGCTAATGGGTGCTGGGCTTAATACCTACGTGATAGGTTGATCTGTGCAGCAAATCGCTGTGGCACACATTAACCTATGTAACAAACCTGCACATCCTGCACATGTATCCTGGTACTTAAAATAAAAAGTGAAAAAAAAAGAAGAAAAGAAAATGAAAATACAAGGGACATATTCAAGGGAAAATGAAAATATAAAGAGAAGGTCGTGATCGATCTCCCTCATTTTCCAATAAGAGAGATTCATAGTCAGCATCTCTTTTTTTTTCTTCATATTGCTAAGAAGGTTTTGAAATATTTTGTCTCCACAGTAACAATTTATTTTTGCTTTATTTTCAGTGGGAAGCTACTTTCACCTTTGGATTCTGAGCATTATGGAATGTCCACTCCATTTTGCAGTAGCCTTGGAATCTGCTCTCCTGGGCCCATATTGCTTCTATTCATTTTCAGGGATTGCAGGGACTAATTGCTTTGGATATGCAGTTACCTTTCCTTATCCATATGCAAAATTCCCATTAGCCTGTGTGGACATACCACACTACGAAGAGTACCACCTGACACTTCAAGCCCTCGACCTGTGCCTAAGCTTTACCCTGCTCTGTACATCCTTGACAGTGTTCATCAAACTTTCTGCAAGACTTATCCAGAATGGACACATAAACTTAAGTTTCAACAAAGGGGGAGCAGGTTCTTGTTCCATCCTGTATGCTAAAATGGAAAGTTTGATATGTGAATAGTTGATATTTCTCTGTTATTTACCACTGTATCCTATATGCTCTTGATATGCAGGTCTGGCACATAATAGGTACTGAACAATTGTTTTTGAATTAATAAATGGAAATATGTTGACATTATAACTGAAGTTATGGCTGTAGGTAGCACCAGCCAATTTTTATGCCAATCCAAAATTTTGAAAATTGTTCATAGGAACAAGACAAGGGTGCCCACTCTCACTACTTCTATTCAACTAGTACGGGAAGTCCTAGCCAGAGCAATTAGGCAAGAAAAAGAAATTTTAAAAATCCAAATCATAAAGAAAGAAGCAAAATTGACTCTGTTTGCAGATGACATGACCTTATATATAGATACCCTAATGATTCCATTAAAAAAATGTTAGAAAGGATATATTCAGTAAAGCTGCAGGATGCAAGTTCAACATACAAAAACCAGCAATGTTTCTATACATTAACAACAAACAATCCTATTTACAGCAGCATCAAAAAGAATAAAATATTTAAGATAAATTTAAGCAAGAATGTGAAAGATCTGTATACTAAAAACTATAAAATATTAATGAAAGAAATTGAACACACAACTAAATAAAAAGGTATCCTATAATCATAAATCAGGAGATTTAATGTTGTTAAAATGTCCATTCTACCCAAAGCAATCTATAGACTCAGTTCAATGGCATTTTTCGCAGAAATAGAACACATAATCCTAAATGTGCATAGATCTACAAAAGACCACACATAGCCAAAGCAATCTTGAGAAAGAATAGAGCTGGAGACATCACAGTTTGATTTTAGACTATATTACAAAGCCGTAGCAATCAAAACAGTATGGTACTAGCATAAAAACACAATAGACCAATGAAACAAGACATAGAGCTCAGAAATAAACCCACATATGAATTTTTGTCCTAAAATAAAATGGCCTTGTTGTTCAACAAAGAGGGATATTTAGGACAAAACAGAAAGTCTAAGCGTGTTGTGAATGGTCTATGTAAGTCATAATAAGTTTAGTAAAGAGAAATATATTTTTAAAAAGGGGTTCAGTTGGCTATGATTGAGAAGAAACTTTCTAGAGATGGATCTTTAATATTAAAAAATACACTAATACAAAACTAATTAGTTAAAACAAGATTTTATTACAAATATTGACTTATTTTTAATGCAAGAAGTTTTTAATTTTTAAATTCTATGACCTATCTCTTTGACATTCTTCAGATTGACATCTCAAAAATTCAACTCTTTCATTTTGAAAAGGTCTTGGATAATAGCTCTCTCCTTCACCTTTTGTTGGCTCCTGTAACTTCTATTAATTATCTAAAGTAGGAAAGGGAATTATTTTTTAAACAAGCAAATAAAATATCCTTTGGGGCTGGGCATGGTAGTTCATGCCTGTAATCCTAGCACTTTAGGAGGCTGATACAGGTGGGTCACTTGAGGTCAGGAGTTCGAAACCAGCCTGGCAAACATGGTGAAACCCCGTCTCTACTAAAAACACACACAAAAATTAGCCAGTCATTTCCATTTATTAATTTAAAAAAATTATTGAGTACCTATTATGTGGCAGACTTGGATATCAAGAGCATATATGATAGAGTGGTAATCAAGTGGCTTTTTAAAAGTTACTTGATTAGAACTCTCTCATGCAGTTTGGTAGTGAAATATCACTTCCACATGACACATATAAAGATATAGATATAATAGATATGCAAAATAAAAGTGCCCGTTGGACTGGTAGAAGTTAGCTCAGATGTCATTTAATTCCCATAACCTTGGTAATCTGTGATAAAATTAATTTGGTAAATTTAATCTCAAAACTCTCTCCAGTAATTTAAAATCTTAAAGTCATGTTAAATCCTTGGTTTTTATTTTCACTGGAAATTTGGATTATTAATTTTAAAATAATGGGAGCATAAAATATGTTTTTGGTAAAGTTTATAAAACACAAAGATGTTGATTTTGCTTAAAAAAAGGAAAATAGTTTTTTCCCCTAGTTAAAAACTATTTAATGATTGCTTTAAAATGAAGTAAAAATTATACAAATAAAACTAAACAAAAGGAGCAATTAGGCCAGGGCAACAAAAGCTAACTCTGAGCCCTGTGATTACCAAAAAAAGAAAAAAAAAGTCAATATGCGGGAAGGGTAAAACCAAGTAACCATTAAAAAGCAGAATGTATAATATAAGAGAATTGTTCCATTTCATAGATTGGTATTATCGACTTCTTAAAAAATCTTTACTATAGTGAATTGTAAAAATAACCACTTTAAGGACAAAATTCTTAAATTTAAATGCCACAGAATTTAAGAGCTTGTTTGGGTTCATGCAAGACTCATAGCTCACTACTAATCACTAATAAGTATATGTAATCCAAATGTATAGGAGGTTATTTCTAAGAGAACAATCAGCCTAGTAAACTGGATAAGTGACACTGTAAGAGCTGCTTGCCCTGAGAAGAGGACTGCCCAACTCTCCCTATAAAATACCAAGTGATCCACCCCAGATGAAACAGTTAATATGCTTCATATGCAAGCCACATTGGACTGGCTTTATGATGACTGGGATATCCTCCCAGCAAGTACACCCATTAGCCAGGTCATAGCAAATTTGGGGGCTAAGTGTACCCCTTTTACATGGGTGCCCCTCCCACAGAATCACAGGACTGTTTAAGAAGCCTTATCAAATTTGCTGTCCCTCATATGTCTTACAGATGCAACTCCCTGCTGGGAACACAAACCCTTTTTCACCATGAAAGGTAAAATGGTATGGGGGTAGAAAAGGCCTGGGACCAGAACATAAAAGCATACAGATTAATATAATTATAAAATTTAAGATGTTTAAACAAGCTTTATGTAAGGTAGTTGAACTCCTTTACCTAAATGTCTTATTAAAACGGATACTGCATCTGACTGGGATGTTTCCCCTTTCTAGTACTATGAAGCTGAAGGCATGTAAATCTTCTCTTTTAGGAAATGTTAGTTAAACATGCTAAATGGGAGCTAGTAAAATCACCTAAGCTCACAAAGTATAGGGTAGTAGCTGGAGTGCTAGTCCAGATGAATTACTCACTGCATATCCCTTTGTGTGGAGCATTCATTGGGGCTGATGGCAAAAGACTGTGAGTATTTTTCAATAACAACAACTGAACTTGAGAATTTCCACTTGATGGAACATTTATTGCCTTGCTATAGAATATTAACTGAAGCTACCCCTATGCTAATGGAAAAATGGTGCCCAAAAGAGTTCCGTGATAAAATAAAAATGTTTTACATAAAACAAAAACTCACACACATGCAATCAAGTAATATTTGACAAGGGTGTCAGGAATGCACGATGAGGAAATGATAGCTTTGCAATAAATGGTGTTAGGAAAATTCGATATCTACATGCAAAAGAATGAACTTGGACCCCGATTTAGGCCAGTCACAGAAATTAACTTAAAATGGATTAAAGACTTAAATGTAAGACCTAAAGCTGTAAAACTACTGAAAGAAAACATAGGGATAAAGCTCCATGACATTTGTCTTAGCAATGCTTTTTTGGGATATGACATGAAAAGCACACGCTACCAAAGCAGCAATAAACAGTGGGACTACATCAAACTAAAAAGCTTCTGCACAGCAAATAAAACATTCAACAAAATGAAAAAGCAGCTTACAGAATGAGAGAAAACATTTTCAAACCATATACACAAGGGATTAATATCCAAATATATAAGGAACTCATACAATTCAATAGCAAGAAATAAATAATCTGATTTTAAAATGGGCAAATGACCTGCATAGACATTTTTCCAAAGAAGACATACAGGTGGCCAACAGGTACATGAAAAGGTGTTGAGAAGCTCTTTAACATTACCAATTATTAGGGAAATGCAAATCAAAACCACAATGCAATATCACTTCACACCTGTTAAAATGACTATTATCAACAGGGTAAGAGATAACAAGTGTTGGTGAGGATGCAGAGAAAAGGGAATCCTTGTGCACCATTGGTGGGAATATAAATTGGCATAGCCCTTATTGAAAACAGTATGGAGGTACTGCCCAAGGTAATTTATAGATTCAATTCCATCCCCATCAAGCTATCAATGACTTTCTTCACAGAATTGGAAAAAACTAAAGTTCATATGGAACCAAAAAAGAGCTCGCATAGCCAAGACAATCCTAAGCAAAAAGAACAAAGCTGGAGGCATCACGCTACCTGACTTCAAACTATACTCAAGGCTACAGTAACCAAAACATGGCACTGGTACCAAAATAGATATATAGACCAATGCAACAGAAGACAGACCTCAGAAATAACACCACACATCTACAGCCATCTGATCTTTGACAAACCTGACAAAAACAAGGAATGCGGAAAGGATTCCCTATTTAATAAATGGTGCTGGGAAAACTGGCTAGCCATATGTAGAAAGCTGAAACTAGATCCCTTCCTTACACCTTATACAAAAATTAACTCAAGATGGATTAAAGACTTAAATGTAAGAGATAAAACTATAAAAACCCTAGAAGAAAACCTAGGCAATACCATTCAGGATATAGGCATGGGCAAAGACTTCATAAGTAAAACACCAAAAACAATGGCAACAAGAGCCAAAATAGACAAATGGGATCTAATTAAACTAAAGAGACATCAGAGTGAACAGGAAACCTACAGAATGGGAGAAATTTTTTTCAATCTACCCATCTGACAAAGGGCTAATATCCAGAATCTACAAAGAACTTAAACAAATTTACAAGAAAAAAACATAAACACCATCAAAAAGTGGGCAAGGGATGTGAATAGACACTTCTTAAAAGAAGACATTTATGCAGCCAACAGACTCATGAAAAAATGTTCATCATCACCGGTCATCAGAGAAATGCAAATCAAAACCACACTTAGATACCATCTCACACCAGTTAGAATGGCAATCATTACAAAGTCAGGAAACAACAGATGCTGGAGAGGATGTGGAGAAATAGGAATGCTTTTACACTGTTGGTGGGAGTATAAATTAGTTCAACCATTGTGGAAGACAGTGTGGTGATTCCTCAAGGATCTAGAACTAGAAATACCATTTGACCCAGTGATCCCACTACTGGGTATATATATCCAAAGGACTGTAAATCATGCTACTATAAAGACGTGCACACGTAGGTTTATTGCGACACTATTCACAATAGCAAAGACTTGGAACCAACTCAAATATCCATCAATGATAGACTGGATTAAGAAAATGTGGCACGTATATACCATGGAAT